TAAAACCCCCGGGCGGTGTGAAAACACAAAAAAAAAAAAAAAAAAAGCCAGAAAAAGCATTCTGGTGTATTCTGGTAAAGTGACCCATTTGTCAAATTCCCTCTGAGAGTCCCCGACCTGTCTGCAGTTTTTCCAGTTCACTGATGTTCCCTCTCTCAAAGACACCATATTCAGTATTATTCCAGGAACATTTAAGGTGCATCAGTATTACGCCTGAAAACAGGTTAGAGTCAACGCTGTACATACAACACCGTGTACACAGCTGTGTCTATGTTAAAGGGACCTTAAATAAGATTTCCTTCACTCTCTGACACACCCAGTGACCCTCTGCTGCCTACAGCCCTCCTGTTGTTAGTCCAGCTTCTCCACCCTGTGTTGTCAAAGTACGGTCTGTACATCAGCCCCGCCTGCCGCCTAGCCACGGTTAGAGGAAGGGTTTTTCCAGTAAGTAGTCATGTCAAACAGCCATGGAGGAGCTCTGGGCAGCTAAAAGTCTGAAGAGGACTCAGACTGGATTCAGATGTGGAGTTCTTCCTTCTGGGTTTGTTAGCATCTAAAGCTAACCTGTTTGTTTTGGTAGCATTAGCCACCTACCATGGTCATGATTTTACCTTTGTGTTGGATTAATATGATTTTAATTTGGGAGTAACTGGAGCTTTGTGTAACGCCAGCGCTTTGTGTCATATCAGCAGTAACCAGAGCGTTCTGCTGGGCTGACACCTTTACTGTTAGTGAACTAATGCTAGCTTCAGACTGGGGGCTGCAGTTTGGACAGTTTGTCCCAACCAGGCATTCGTAGTTCACATAGTCATTAGGAAACAGGGACAGAGAGCCGTTAGGAGCATCTTATGGTGCCAGCTTGTTTTGAGACTCACTAGTCCCTCTAGGCTGAGTAGCTCTAAAGATTAAACAAAGGTCAGTAAGGCTGCAGTACATACAGAAAGTCAGCAGTTCCTGCAAAGCAATCAACATTCAGTTGAAGAGGTTCTCCTGAAATGTTTAACACCATCTGTTCAAAAAGATGCACCACAAGTTGACTGGCTGCTGCAGAGAGCAGTGTTTCACAACTGGGTCAAGTAAACTGTGGTCTTCTTGGAGAAGTGCAATCCTTCATACAAGACCTTGGTCTTGATGTCTTAGCTGAGTCACATCAAATATAAAACAAAATGCACAAATAACTTCCTAAAAACCTCATCAACAGGGGACCACAGTGAGCTTCCAAATGCTAGTCCAACACTTTAACGCACCTGTTCATCTGAATTTACTCCCCTTTCATTTCAGTGATGAAAAGCGAACACACACACACACACACACACACACACACACACACACCCCTCAGGTCTGATACTGATCTTGAACTTTGACCTGTGAAATCACAAACACTGTCAACCAAGTCTGAGAGTGGGAACAGGACAAACATCCAGGTCAACATATACTTAAATTTTATATGTTGCCTTTTACATGACTACACAGTCAAATACAACCAGGAGCAGGGAAGACGGGACGCTGCAGGACACGAGCTGATCACAATGCAAGGTTTATAGAACCAGCATTTATGGTTGGCTCCTGTAGTTTTATGTTTACAGTCCTGCTCATGCGACTTCCTGTGCCTGTTTTCTGCTGTGGTATGTGAGCAAATTTCACCTGGCCAGTTCTGGTCTCACTGTACCTTACAACACGTACAATGACATGTGCAATTATATGTAAATATTAGTCTTACACTGTCTATTTATTTAATTCCTGTCTGTTACTTGTTTACCTTTTACCACTGGGTGCCTTGTTTCTAACCCTGTGCTGCTGTAGTGCTGTGAATTTCCCAGCTGTGGGACTATTAAAAGGTTCATCTTATCTTATGACAAGGTTTCACTCTTCACACAGGGTGGCAGCCTCATCCTGAGGCACTTGTGCAAGTCTTGCTGTGATTTCAGTGCATGGATTCACCAACAAATGCCATAAAACTGGGGAGTCTACCTGAAAACACGACGGGGAACAGAGAAACAACAAAAGCCTACAAATGCCACACTCAAGTGATGACAGTGAACGCATCACTGCACTTTTTTAACTTCAAGTCTTGTGTCGTTATTAGGCTACAATTAGCCGAAACTGTGACATTAAACGCAACACGTACTATACACGGTGATATTTCTTCAACACGCAGTGACACGCACATATAAACACACGGTGATCTTACCGGCTGGCATTGTGCTGCTTGTGTACCGCAGTTCCTCTGTATTCTGGGTTAGTTAGCCTCCATGTAGCTTCTCCTGCTGCTTCCTCTCACCTGGCATCGGAGCGGCGACTCTACGACAACAAATCACACCTCGTCAGCTCACACGACATATTAACAGCCAGTATAAGTCAAATCCGTGAGATACAAGTTGTCATTAACGGGCTAAAGCTGTCCTCTATGACACCAACGAACAGCCCTGTAAACACTGAGTGTCCGGAGGAATTAGCAGTGGAAGCTAACATCTCAGTGTCGTCCACACGGAGACATTAGTGCGACATTTCTGGGGTGAACCTGCGGACATACCTGTAGATATGCAGCAGCAACAGCACAGATTAATTCCCACACGTTACCACACTGCTTCCTGCTTTACGGTGACAGGCAATACGGAAGTGTGTGTGCTGCGGCAGAGCAGCTCCAGCCCCTCCCCCGCTCCGGGGCAACATATGCTGGGGCCCACAGGCA